ATCACTGCAGCAATGTTGTGCATCCAGCTGATGACTACTGGTAGCGAGGTGGCTCGCATGGAGCTGGCGGATGTGCCGTGCTCAACTCGAACTGAGCGCGGGTCCGTTTGCCACGTGCGCGATGTGAAGCTCCATCTCCAAAAGGTCTGGGGACATCCCCGGTTTCGACAGAGACTTCTGCAAGAAGATGGGCAGATACTGCCTGACGAGGCAGCTTTAGATGCGCCATGTCGATTGCAGCTATTGTTGTTGGGCTTTGCAGAGACTCCTGCCGATTATATAGACAAGTTGCTCCAAGCAGTAGAAGCAAATGACACGAGTCAAATAGAAAACGTCTTGCAACGTCCTCAAGACCCGAGCCTGACGGACACGCGGGGCGTGGCAGCCTTGCACGTGGCAGCCAGGCTCGGCAACGAAGTTGCTACTTTCCAGCTGCTAGAGGCCGGTGCAGACAAAGACCAAGCCGGCGTGGGTGGAGCCACACCTCTTCACTACGCGTCTGCGCAAGGCCACTTGGAAGTGGCGCGTTTGCTCCTTGAAGCTGGCGCGGGCAAGGATGCAGCCATCACAGATGGAGACACACCTCTTCACGCCGCAGCTCAGAATGGCCACTTGGAAGTGGCGCGTTTGCTCCTTGAAGCTGGCGCAGGCAAGGATGCAGCCACCACAGATGGAGCAACACCTCTTCACCTCGCATCTCAGAATGGCCACTTGGAAGTGGCACGTTTGCTCCTGGAAGATGGCGCGGGCAAGGATGCAGCCGCGATAAGTGGAGCAACACCTCTTCACCTCGCATCTCAGAGTGGCCACTTGGAAGTGGCACGTTTGCTCCTGCAAGCTGGCGCGGGCAAGGATGCAGCCACCACGGATGGAGCAACACCTCTTCATCTCGCATCTCATAATGGCCACTTGGAAGTGGCGCATTTGCTCCTTGAAGCTGGCGCGGGCAAGGATGCAGCCGCGATAAGTGGAGCAACACCTCTTCACCTCGCATCTCAGAGTGGCCACTTGGAAGTGGCACGTTTGCTCCTTGAAGCTTGCGCGGGCAAGGATGCAACCACCACAACAGAGGGAAGAACACCTCTTCATCTCGCATCTGAGAGTGGCCACTTGGAAGTGGCACGTTTGCTCCTTGAAGCTGGCGCGGGCAAGGATGCAGCCACCACAGCTGGAGCAGATGGAGCAACACCTCTTCATCTCGCATCTCAGAATGGCCACTTGGAAGTGGCACGTTTGCTCCTGGAAGCTGGCGCGGGCAAGGATGCAGCCGCGAGAAGTGGAGCAACACCTCTTCACCTCGCATCTCAGAGTGGCCACTTGGAAGTGGCACGTTTGCTCCTTGAAGCTGGCGCGGGCAAGGATGCAACCACCACAACAGATGGAAGAACACCTCGAGCGTGGCCACTTGGAAGTGGCACGTTTGCTCCTTGAAGCTGGCGCGGGCAAGGATGCAGCCACCACAGATGGAGCAGATGGAGCAACACCTCTTCACCTCGCATCTGAGAATGGCCACTTGGAAGTGGCACGTTTGCTCCTTCAAGCTGGTGCGGGCAAGGATGCAGCCACCACGGATGGAGCAACACCTCTTCATCTCGCATCTCATAATGGCCACTTGGAAGTGGCGCATTTGCTCCTTGAAGATGGCGCGGGCAAGGATGCAGCCGCGATAAGTGGAGCAACACCTCTTCACCTCGCATCTCAGAATGGCCACTTGGAAGTGGCGCGTTTGCTCCTTGAAGCTGGTGCGGGCAAGGATGCAGCCGCGAGAAGTGGAGCAACACCTCTTCACCTCGCATCTCAGAGTGGCCACTTGGAAGTGGCACGTTTGCTCCTGCAAGCTGGCGGGGGCAAGGATGCAGCCACCACGGATGGAGCAACACCTCTTCATCTCGCATCTCATAATGGCCACTTGGAAGTGGCGCATTTGCTCCTTGAAGCTGGCGCGGGCAAGGATGCAGCCGCGATAAGTGGAGCAACACCTCTTCACCTCGCATCTCAGAGTGGCCACTTGGAAGTGGCACGTTTGCTCCTTGAAGCTGGCGCGGGCAAGGATGCAACCACCACAACAGATGGAAGAACACCTCGAGCGTGGCCACTTGGAAGTGGCACGTTTGCTCCTTGAAGCTGGCGCGGGCAAGGATGCAGCCACCACAGATGGAGCAGATGGAGCAACACCTCTTCACCTCGCATCTGAATGGCCACTTGGAAGTGGCACGTTTGCTCCGTGCAAGCTGGTGCGGGCAAGGATGATGCCAACAAGCGTGCAAGGACTCGGCCAACACAGATGGAGTAAGGAGTAGCAACGCCTCTTCACATCGCAGTTGCGCAAGGTCGCGCGGAAGTGCTTCATTTGCACCTTGAACCTGGCGCAACCTAAACCCTAAACCCTAAACAACCATACAGCCACGACAGATGGAGCAACGGGCAAAGAGATCATACGGGGACTCACATTCGCGTTGTGGGGTCGCTTTTTTTTTTTTTTCTTTGGGGGGGGGGGGGGGGGGGGGGTTAGGGCTGAAGTTTGAACTGTGTTTTGTGCCTTGTGTGGCTCGGTTGGGTTGGTTTGCCTTGAAAGTGGCTCTCAATTGATTTCAGGGTGAAAGGTGGGGGCTGGTAAGGAATTTGGTCTTGAAGCGTGCTGCTGCTTTAGGGCCGAGGTGGTTGCGACCAAAGCCCGCCCGAAACTGGGTTTAGGGTTTAGGGTTTAGAGTTGGGGTTTAGGGTTAGAGTTTAGGGTTTAGGGTTTAGGGTTTGGGGTTTAGGGTTTAGGGTTTAGGGTTTCGGGTTTAGGGTTTAGGGTTCCCAGAGCCTCCAAGCCCAGACTCATATGACTCTTGCAGGATCAGAGTTTCCAACGTCCTTCAACTTAGCAAAGCTTCTGAACACCCAACACGCCTTAAATAAATTGGAAAGCCCGCTAGGCGCCGTTCTTGGCCCGTGTAAAAGCACAAATTTCTAATACAAATGCACACGACAGAAGTTCCTTGTCATTTTACATTTGAAATTGAATGGTCTTTTAGTATGCTTCCCAAGGACCTTTATGACCACATGAGTATTATAACCGTACCACCTTGAGACCCAACCTCGGACCTCTGTTTCCACCGGGTGCTTTTAGCACCAGAAAGCTTCCCTTCTATACACCCTAATCCCTGAACCCTGAATCCTGAACCCCAAACCCTAAACCCTAAACCCTAAACCCTACAAGCCCAAAACCTCCGCCGAGGCATCGCCGCGCCCCTGTACTACCGGAAGCGTCTGGAGGTTGCACTGGTTCGGATGGCTTGCTAGGGTTTTGGGTTTAGGGTTTCGGGTTTAGGGTTTCGGGTTTAGGGTTTATGTAGGGTGTAGGGTTTAGGGCTTAGAGTTTAGGGTTTAGGGTTTAGGGTTTAGGGTTGGTTCGGATGGTTTGCTTGGGTTTAGGTTTTAATTAGGGTTTAGGGTTTTGGGTTTTGGTTTGGGTTTTTGGTTTAGGGTTCGGATTACTTGGGGTACAGGCTTTTTAGGGTTTGTAGGGGTTTGCGGGTTGACAGGGTTTATGGAGTTTATAGGGTTTGCAGGGTTTATAGGTTTTTTAAGGGTTTATAGGGTTTATAGTGGTTTAGGGTTTGTAGGGTTTTGCGGGTTTACAGGGTTTATAGAGTTTATAGGGTTTGACAGGTTTTTTTTAAGGGCTTATAGGGTTTATTATAGGATTTATAGGTGCTTAGGGTTTATAAGGTTTTTTGGGGGGTTTTTAGGGTTTAGGGCCGGTTGTGTTTGAAGGGCCTGGGGTCTTTCATAGGGCTTATAGGGTTTAACTCAACTTAAAGAAAGTTGCCACAACAATTAATACGGGACATGCACATATGTACACAAATGGATAGAACAAAGGTGGTTTCCTCACCCTAAAACCCTAAACCCTAAACCCTAAACCCTAAACCCTCAACCCTCAACCTATGGTTTCCTTACTATGGTGGCTCACAGCGATTCCTCTTGAAGAAGCTTCAAGCATGGGTGGCGGTCCCCGCTTGTAGCATCGAATCTCCCATGGTGTCCTCCTTAAAGGGTTTAGGGTTTAGGGTTTAGGGTTTAGGGTTTAGGTTCTGAAGTAAGGGCCCTTGGGTTGTATGGGCTGTTTAAGGGGTATATGATAAGGGCCCATACTAAGGGACCGTGTAACTACCCTAAGAGTTGTACCACCGCACAGTCTCTGCAGTCCCCACGCCCGGCAGCCTCAATCGAGCCTTTAGTTAGGGTTGAGGGTTGGGGGTTGAGGGTGTAGGGTGTAGGGTGTAGGGTTTAGGGTTTAGGGTTTAGGGTTTAGGGTTTAGGGTTTAGGGTTTAGGGTTTAGGGTTTAGGGCATAATACACACTAATTTGGGATGTTCCCCCTCATACTAACAGGCGTTAATTCGGATTATCGTACCCCTTATTATAATCCCTATTCGAGACTGTTAGTATAAGGGGGACCAACCTCCACACCAAGCCAGGAATCCTCAAACGGAGCATGTTGTGTTGCACACTTGTGACGTTGAAGTACTTCCTCAAGACGCCCACCACGCCCCCCATGTCTTCATTGCCCACGCGCGCGCGCCGCGTCGCTTGCGTACCCTAAACCCGAAACCCTAAACCCAAAACCCTAAACCCTTAACAGGATGGCTTCGTGCGCATCGTGAACTGGTGGACTTCGAAGGATGCCCGCCACTTCGCAGCTGCGAAGCAGGCGCGGCTCCTAGGGTTTAGGGTTTAGGGTTTAGAGTTTAGGGTTTACGGTTTAGGGTTTAGGGTTTTTGGTTTAGGGTTTAGGGTTTAGGGTTTAGGTTGGGATGTTCCCCCTTCTACTAGCAGTTACTAGCAGTCCTGAACAGGGATTATCGTACCCCTATTACAATCCCTATTAAGGACTGTTCATCTAAGGGAGGAACATCCCCAACCACAGTGATCCTGCCAGGGAGGCCTGTCGGTGTCTTTTTTTTTTCTCGGTTTCTAGGGTTGGAATCCGCTGCGGTCGCCACTGATGCATGTTGTGCTCAAGTCTCAAGGTAGTTCAAGACTGCTTGAGATTCCGATTCTGCGAACCCGGTCGAGCCATGGAAGGCTTAGATGCTTGGTGGCCCAGTGGTGCCCTTTTCCCTTTTAAAGGGGGGTTCACCGTTCCCTTATAAAAATACTTCACCCCAAGAAGGGTGCCCTTACTAACAGATGCTTCGTGGGCTCCCAAGGATGTGAAGAAGCACTACATCGTCAAGGAGAGCGTCGTGCGCCCCGAATGGATCGAGAACAAGTACCTCACCCTCAGCCCAAACTTCAGCGCCCTCTACTGCCACGAGGAGGGCTGTCCTTTCGGTGGTGGCTTCATGGAAACCAAGAAGCTTGGCACCTACACCGTGGACAGAGAAAAGGGCGTGGTCACGGTGAAGCTGACGAAGAGCGAGTTTCGAACAAACGACGTTACCATGAAGAATGAGGATAAGGTGATCTCCGAGGAGCAGGAATACACACTGAAGGCCCTGGGTCTGTGAGTGTCGTGAGGGCTGCCTCGGATGCAGTGGAAGGCACTTAAATGCTGGGAAGGATGTCTTTGTCCTACCGTCTGTCCAGAACTCGGACAGGATCCGACAAGCATATTGAGGCAGAGGTTATTTTGCCATGGTTGGTGGATGTATCAATGGTTCCAGATAGTTGCAGGTAAGTTTCAACATGTAGCCCCAAACAAGTGCTTTTGGGGTACTTGTAATAACCTACCTCAAATGCCTTCACAGCTGCAGTCGTTTCGAGTCTCACAGGGCAAGTCCAAGACCAATGGACATGTGCCGCTTGCATTGTGGAAGTCCAAAAGGGGGGTTCAGGGTTTAGGGGTTTCAACCTCAGTGCCTTCGAGTGGCTGAGATGGCAGGAAGAAGGTCTGGGGTTTAGGGTTTAGGGTTTCGGGTTCAGGATTTAGGGTTTAGGGCTAGGGATAGGGACTCCAGGATTTGTGGTTGCGTCTTAGGGGGTTAGGGTTCGTTGCAGCGGCAAGGGGGTTCGAGCATGGCCTTCAGACGTCGGTTTAGGGTCTCAGGGGTTTCGGGGTTTAGGGCTTAGGGTTTTCGGGGTTTAGGGTTTAGGGCGCGTTTAGGGATTTAGGGGTATAGGGGGACAGGGTTTGGGTTTTCGGGGGTTGGGGTTTAGGGGTTTAGGGGTAACTCCCCCAAACCCCGGACGTACAAAAAAAGTCTGCCAGCAGGGCACCCTCCTCACGGCGATGATTCGGGGAGGTGGGGACCATGAGCCCTTCGCGAAGAAGTTTTATGTTAGGGTTTTGGGGTTTCTGGGGGGTTTCAAGGTTCAGGGTGCAGGGGATCTAGGTTTAGGGTTTCAGGGTTTCAGGATTTCAGGTTTTGGGGCTCAAGAGTGTGGCAGGGGTGGGGGTTTAGGACATCATTGCTTCGGGGTTTCGGGATTGTGGGGTTCTGGGGCTTAACAGGTTGTGGTATGTTGCAGCCCGATTTTCTCGAACTGTGGTTGTCGGACATTCATTCCGACATGCGCATCGCAAATCTCGCGCTTCCTGCGCAACGCTGCCACGCAAGCGATTGCACGCGCAGCGAAATGCCAACTCTGCGCTCCGACGATCTTTGTCCACAGGTTTTCCATAGCCAACATCGAGTCATGTGAAGCAGGGTTTAGGGTTTAGGGTTTAGGGTTTAGGGTTTAGGGTTTAGGGTACCGTTTTCCCCCAAACAGTAGTGTTGGGGTTCTAAATTCATTTACAGATTGCCGACATTCTGAGGGCCGTTGCCGGGTTCCTGGGCTCCTTGTCTCCTTGTCTCCCGTTGTCTCCACTGTTTCCTTGACGGGCCTTTGACTGTTTGGGGTCTTCGGTGGTGTAATTGGTGATTGCATATCAGGTTCCTGTCAATATTGGTGAGTGTATCTATTTGGCGTCCTCTTGGGGATAATTACAAGGAATATAAACCCTACTTCATGTGGCTTCAGAGAGTATCTGCTCCTCGCAGATGGAGGAATACTTCAGGAATACTTTGTCATTGCAGCCTGACTATCTGCCTGCGCGCAGACAGAGAGCATTCTGCCACGATGGAGATGGAGACCTTGCTAAGCACCAAAATCCGCAAAGCTCGATCCGAACCCTAAACCCATGAACCCCAAGATGGTGAAGCGTGAAGCAACCATACAAGCCCTAAACCGAAAACACACAAAGCCAGGACCCCAATGGCGGATGGCCCCTAAACCCTAAAGTGTCCGGTCTACCCCCTGATCCGCAAGAACCATGAAGCCCAAAACCTAATCCCTAAAGTGCGAAAGCCCTAGGCCCTAAACCCGACAGCAGAAGCCCTTTATGGTTTTCACGGTTCACAGGGGTAGGTTTGAACATAACTTTTATATTTCTATTGCCCTCAATGCCATGTAAAATCCTAAGACAGCCATACGTTTAGACATTTTTTTAACCTACCCGAGTTGAGGTTGGTAGCTCTGGGCTTTCGGGGTTTAGGGTTTCGGGTTTCGGGGTTTAGGGTTTAGGGTTTAGGGTTTCGGGTTTAGGGGTTTAGGGTTTCGGGGTTTGGGGTTTAGGGTTTAGGGTTTCGAGCATCAGAAGGGACGGTCAAAGCCCACAAGGCCATGTATCGATGATGCCCTGGGACACGGACCTGGAGCTATCACTGTGCCCCCTGAGGATGTACTCTTGGGGGTTTAGGGTTTAGGGTTTAGGGTTTAGGGTTTAGGGTTTAGGGTTACATACTTTTCATGTTCCCTTACGGTCCCTGTACTTCTACTATATACTAACTGTACTTGTGAAGGCCCCTATATTCGTGGTGCATGTTCTAAGTGACTTGCCTACTATATTCTCCATGGGTACAAGTGTCTGATTGCAACTGTGCCGGAATCTCCCCAAGGTAACCCGTTAAGCCCTAAACCGTTGACGCTTTGAGGTTTGAGTGTTCGGGTTTGGGCCCGGATTTGAGTCGGTTTGCGATTCCCCTAAGCCCTAAGCCCTAAACCCTAAACCCTAAACCCTATACTGTTAGAGCGTTCGGTTTCAGGGCTTGAGCGTCAGCGATTCGGAGTTTAGGAGGCCAGGGCTTTCGAATGTCTCAGGGTCATTATATGGGGGGGGGGGGGGGGGGCCTTCATATTGTTCCCTACTTCCTTTCAAGGGTTCTGAAGTATGGCCCTAAGCCCTAAACCCTAGCCCTAAACCCTAAACCCGAAACCCTAATCCCCAAATGGGTTGTATGGTGTTTGCGACCAGGGCCCTTGCATCCCCAGCTCCTTCGCCCCTACAGCCAATGCAGGGGGTCGGAAGAATTTCTAACATTCGTACCTTATGGTCCCTGTTCAAGTATAATATCATACCCCCCCCCCCTCTCCAACCCTAAACCCTAAACCCTAAACCCTAAACCCTAAACCCTAAACCCTAAACCCTAAACCCTAAACCCTAAACCCTAAACCCTAAACCCTAAACCCTAACCCCTAAACCCTAAACCCTAAACCCTATCCCCCAAAAAATAATTAAATAACAACTAGTTTAACTATTTAGGCCCCTACATCTATGCCATTCTTAGCAGGTTTCCTAATGATGAAGGGGGCTCCTAGGTTGGTGGGTTGTCTTGGGGTCTTAGGGTCTTCCCGTGAGAAGTTGGGCACTGCGTCTCGTTTAGGTTCTCGGGTTTCGGGTGTCGGGTTTAGGGTTTAGGGTTTAGGGCTTTTGTCAACCCCCCGGTGTCACGCTGCCCCGCTGAAATGAGCCGCCTTCCAGCCCTAAACGCAAAGACGCCCTGACGCCCTGAACTGTCTGGGGCTGTACAAAGAGGGGCCCCCTTACTATACTAACTCTAGTTAAGGGATTTATAACCTAGTTTAGGATCCCTATAACCCTAATTTAGGGCCCTTACAACTCTACTTATAACTTGGGGGGCCCCTCCTTGTAGGGCGAGGGGTTGAGGGTGTTGGTAGCCCAGTGGTGCCCTTTTGCCCCCTTTTTTGTTTCAAGGTCCCCTTATATAAAGTAGCCAAGCCCCAAAAAAAGGTACCCTCATTATGCTATGGTTACTGGCCTACCAAGGGGTGGAAGGCGTCCGGGATTTATATTTGGAGTGCTTAGTTAGGGACAGGACTTGATATCACGTTCTGTCTTTGGCTTTGGTCGTTTCAGCTTCCTACTCACTTGGACAGCAAGGCGTCCCATGCAATCAGCCCCAGGGAGACAGCGAGAGAGAGGGAGAGAGCCAGTTGCCCACCTTTTTACGATTCCGAAGTTAGGCGAGCGTGGAAACAGGTACTCCATTTTTCTTTCATATTGTTATACTGTACTATAGCAAAGAACCCTTGTTGCTTTCTGTGGCTGCCTGAGCGCCATGGATGGTTCGCTGAACATGGCTGGGGCTCCCTGGCATATAAGAAAAGTACAAGGGCAGGCTGTGCAGTCAGGCGCTTTTCACTAAACCAAACCAAAGCCCGAAGCCCCAAACCCTGAGTCATAAACCCAAAACCTCCCGAACCCCCAAGTCATAAACCCAAAACCTCCCAAACCCTGAGTCATAAACCCAAAACCTCCCAAACCCCCCATGATTTCCCGAACCCCTAAACCCCGAAATCCGCGCGCAAAACCCTCCCACGCCCCAAGCCCCAATCCCGAAAACCCCCTAAACCCCCTAAAGCCCCTAAACCCCCTAAACCCCCTAAACCCCCCTAAACCCCCTAAACCCCCTAAACCCCCTAAACCCCCTAAACCCCCTCAACCCCCTAAACCCCCTAACCCCCTAAACCCCCTAAACCCTCTAAACCCTCTAAACCCCCTAAACCCCCTAAACCCCCAAACCCCCTAAACCCCCTAAACCCCCCTAAACCCACTAAACCCCCAAAACCCTAAACCTAACCCCCAAAACCCTAAGAAACAGGCCTTCGTCCCTTCTGCTGGTCTGCGTGTTGGCGCGCCGAGCGCCAAGGCATCGCGCGCAGCCGCTCTGCCCAGGGTTTAGGGTTTAGGGTTTGGGTTTAGGGTTTCGGGTTTAGGGGGGTTTAGAGTTTAGGGTTTAGGGTTTAGGGTTCAGGGTTTAGGGTTTAGGGATGTTTCTTTTGTTTATGTTGGGATGATCCCCCTTGTACTAACAGTCCTTAAGAGGGATCCGAGTACCATTGATGATAGCCCCTCTTACCGACTGTGCGTATAAGGAACATCCTAAGCTTCTGGGATTTCACGGCCATCCCTAAACCCTAAACCCTCAACCCTAAACCCTAAACCCTAGATCCCATTGGCAGTTTTGGGGGCTCAGGACTTGGAGACCTTTTTGGAGGGTTTTAGTGTTTAGGGTGCCAGGGCGTTTGCCTGTCGAAGGGACCCTAAACCCGAAGCCCTAAACCCGAAACCCTAAACCCGAAACCCAAACCCGAAACCCTAAACCCGAAACCCTAAGCCCTAAACCCTAAAGGGTGCTGGGGCTTGCGGGTGGCGATGAGGGAAGGGCGCGGGAAGGGCGGAGGAAGAGCTTTCGATATCGGTTCATGGGGGTTTAGAGTTTCA